CTGAGGTGAAACCTTCAAGCTGAGACTAAAGGAAGAGAAACCGGGTGAAAAGTCAGAGGCTGCGTGTCCAGCCACTGGGAGCAGTCTGGACAAAGACTCTGGGGGGAATAAGAAGATTTGGGGACAGCTTAGTGCATTTTAAGGAAATTAGAAGTGCTAACACGAAGTGGTGTAGGGGGAAGTGGTCAATGCAAGGGTGACAAAGTGGTCAGTGGTCAGATTATATAAGGTCTTGTATCGCCTGTTAAGTGCAGTGTATTTTATAAGAGCAACAGAAACCTATGTCAAGGATTTCCACTGGAAAGTGGCACCGGTGATTTAATTTAGAATTTCTAAAATTTACTTTATCTTCTATGCAGAAAGTTGATTGCAGCAGGAGAGGGACAGTAGGCAGAGCAAGCAGCGGATTACTCAACAGCCAGAATAGATGACTGTGCCAGGGGAAAGGTGGTAGCAGGGCAGAAGAAAAGTAGGTGGATTTGAAATCTCTCATACAGGTTTAATGGCAGGGCTTGATGGTGGGTTTAATGTAGGAGGAACGAGAAAGGAGGGCTGAAGACAGCTCTGTTCGGAACAGGTAGGCAAATTGAATGGGATTTTCTGAAAAGGGAGAAATTGGGTGGAAGAATGGTGTAGATGAGGAGTAAGGGGGTCAGGGTGAGTCTTAGATATGTTATGTGCACAGTGCACTAGACTTCTGAGGAGCAGTATCCGGGTCCGCAGTAGCCATATGAACCTGAAATTCAAAAGAAAGAACCAGACTTGGGGACTGGCTTATAGATGGGGCATGTAGATGTTCTCTAAAGCCACGGGAAATGGATGAGAGTCCCCAAAGAGAAAGCATGGAACGGGAACACAAAAGGCCCCCCAGTGGAGCCCTGAGATCTTCAAACACTCCAGGTGGAGAAGAGGTCAGCAAAGGAGCCTCTGAATGGCCCTCAGGTAGTGGGGGGGTGGGGGGGGGATGGAGAAACCTAGTATGACAGGTCTTTTAAGAAGGAGAACTGATCTTGCTGGCTAACAGCCCATTTGTTGGTAAGAAGTTGCATGAGCTGACACTAGAAAGTCCACATTGGAATCTCCTGGGAAGACTTCCTCCAAAGAAGAGAGACCACTATATTTCATCTGCTGCTCTTGAATTTTGATGGAAACTGCTGGCACACAATGAAGACTTGATCTATAACTGAATATTCAAGTTCAGTGGAGGGTGAGGCATAAGGATGAGTTGTCTTTAAAAGCACTACCTAGGAATTTGTCATGAGTTGCTTTGTCAAAGCAACATGAAACACCCTTCCTTTCAGCTGACTTTAGGAGAAGCCAGCAGGCTGCCAAGTCTTGCGGAGCAAACACAGCACGGGTGGCTGAATTGGGTGCTTGATCCTGCAAAGGCAGGGAAATCGTCATCCTCATAATAAAAATGAGGCCCTGCCCCATCAAACCCTTTCAACTGGCCACTGCTCAACTTTTTTTTAAATCGTTTTATTAGGGGCGCATACAACTCTTTTCACAATCCACACATACATCAATTGTGCAAAGCACATTTGTACATTCATTGCCCTCATCATTCTCAAAACATTTGCTCTCCACTTAAGCCCCTGGCATCAGCTCCTCATTTTT